TATAGTATTTTTTATGAAATTTCAAGCTCTTCTTTTATCTGAAATAAAGTACATACAATGAACACTAAGACAGTCAAGTAAATGTTTGGTATAGAATAATAAATGTTATTTAATATTCTATAGTTAATCCTTTTACTTGTCTTTTTTACTTTCCTTTTATAAGCACCATATTAAGCTAATAAATTTGGTGAATCAGTCCTAGATTAATCTTTCTGATTATTTGAATAATTGATCTTTTCTTTATTGGTTACTTATCCTAATTATAATTTATTTTTTAAATGATCAAAGGGGGTATTAGTACCCTAAAACAAGGATGAAGGAGTTATTGACACTTCTCGTCCAAAGGTAAGATTGAAGGAGTAGTTGATATCCTTGGTTTTAGGATAAGGCCAAATGAGTAGTTAATACCCTTCGCCTCACGATAAAGTTAAATAGGTACTCAATTTCATTTAGTTATGAAATGATTGCATAAGCCTTTATCTGATATAGTATGTTTCGTCTTAAGATAAAGTCGAAAGAGTATTTAGTTCTTTTTATTTTTAAAAATGACAGAATAGGATCTTATCATATATAGGTTAAATTTACAAAAATATTATTATTAATCAACAAACAAAAATTATCAATGGTGAAGATTTATATAGTCTTTATTAATATAGTATGCTTAACAAAAAAAATTAATAATCGTATAGGTTTTAAAAATTTATACTAATGCAATATATTAACATTTACTATAATAATAATACATTAATATTTTCATTAGAAAAATTATTTGTTGATAAAAAAATATAAATTTTTAGCATGTATTTATAATGTCTCTGCTAATATTTTAATTTCTATTTTAAAAAAACCTAATCTAATATTAAATTTGTAATAAAATTTTTTTTTTGTAGTGGTTAAATTAATCTGTTGGTTCTCGTATCTTTTAATTTTTTTAAAAAAATAGGTCCTCATGATTTAAAATTTTATAATTTTTGAAAAAACTTTTAAATAATTTTTAATTGTAGTTCTGATCAAATTTTCATTAGCATTTCATTATTATACAGACGTTATTAAAAAAAATAATTCATGAACTTATTAAACAATCAAATTAATATGTTCTGATCACTAAACTGTTTAAACATTTTTACTCAAGTCCCTTTACTTAATAAATCTCTAATGAAATGCTGACTGAAGAATATAGTTAAAATAATTCAAATATTTAATGTTTTAGTTAGAAAATTTTAAAAATATAAATTCATTTAATCTTTTGTTACATCAATTATAAGCTTTTTATCTCATCTCTTTATATACCTCTGTTCTCCCTTTAAAAATCTAAATTTAATAACTTATTTGTATCAAATTAAATCTACGTGTGATATAATAGTAATTAGAAATCCAATCCTTCCACCAGATCAGATACTTCCCATGTGAAATGATTACACTTCCTATGTATAAAAATTAACAGTATTTTCCAAAAGCAAACCAAGGAAAGAGAAAATTAAAAGGCTAACAATGGTACACAGTTGAAAGAATACAAACAAAAAAAATCATCCATAAGACAACGTAAAAGTGAACCTCATCAATCACTCTGCAAATACATTTCTTGTTTTAAGGGCTACTATATATTATAATAAGTGGATCGAAATTTGTATTCACTTAAACTCGTGCATTAAACTTGTTTAGCAGTGAATGGATTTCAAGATATTAATTAGTAACATAACAACTCAAATCTTTAACCAAGACTTTTTGGCCAAATTTTGTTATAAAAAAATTGTTCTTTTACCATATGTTACCTTGCATGGATGTTCCTATCACTATCACTCAAGTATCAGCATTTATATATATACTTAATTAATTTCTATAATTTTCTCTCACCACCTTTTAAGATTCAATAAATGAAAGATTTCAAATGGTGTCCTACAATTTATCAAATAATATTAATTTTTTTATGAGTGAATACTAATACCATTTTTAGTAAAATTTCTTATTTTTTTTCATTCTTTAATTAAAGATATTAGTTCAAATTTATTTATATTTTTTTTAACAAGAAATACAACAGAAAAAGTTTCCAAAAAATTATTCATTATACCACTATTTTCAACTTACATTTTTTTTTTGTACTTCAAGGCCTAACTATTTCTTATAATTAGCCTATTTTAAATTTTAATGAATTTGGACTTTTCAAAAACAAAAACATTTTATATAATAAGAGATGTCCCACATATTTTTTCAATGAAAATTTATTTTCTATTAACAATTTACTTACCTTAAGTATAAGGTGTTTTACATGCATTACGGTCTGTCCGATCACTATATCTCTCACTAGTATTATGACAATATCAAAACTAGCTTAAAAAGATCCAAGTTGCGATGATATATTCTCGTGATCATTATAATTATTACTAGCACAAGTAATTGAATGATTCATATCAATGTAATTGATAGCAATCGATGACATGCATATCAATCACTGTTAAATAACAGGGTTTTTCTTTTTGGGATATTAATTATTTAAGAAATTAATGAATAAAAGTATTATTAAATAAGTATAAGATAATTATATTATTATATTTTTAATAAAAATATACTTTATTTTTTTTACTGATTAATATTTTCTGAATAATATATAAAGTGAATTGTAAGAGATTGAGAAAAAAGTACAAATTAACATATTTATTATTAGTTTTGATTTTTTTTTAATAATTTGTTTGGATGTTTGTTTTGGACTTTTTCATAAGTCTCGCTTCATATTTTTCCTGTATTATTATTATTATTTTTTGTAAAAGTCTTTAATTAAATGTGAAAATTAGTTTTTATATTCTGTCTCTTTCTTACGAGGATAAATGAAAATTTATTTAATTAGGTTAAAAAACGTTAAAATTAATTTTAGAAATATTATGTAAAATGTTGATAAATTTAGTATAACTAAGTTTTTTAAATTTTTACGCAATGGTTAAACAGGCAAAATAACATTATTTAAGTTGAATCTCTAAGCTAACTTAAGTCAAAATTAACAAGAACTACGAGTGAAAGCTAAAGCAATTATACAACACAATACAAGGGTACTCTCGACGCAAGCAATAAAGGTTTTATTCATAAAATAAGATTCATCTCACTCAAGTTTTAAAATAAGATTGAAGATAAGAAAAATACAAAAAATGATTGAAATCAATTTCATAATTAATTAATCATCCATTTTCCCTCAATTAAAAATGTTAATTCATAAATCCATGGTTCAAGCAATCATCAATATAAAAAATTCATGACATCTATAATTGTTATATGTATTTCTATGGCATCACCAATTATATTACTTTGTCTCAATTTTAATCTAATTTTTCTTTTTAATTGAAAGAAGTGATTAAAAATTATTTATTAGTGACCAATTCATAAAAAGAATGCATGAAAATTATAACAATATTAACTTCTCTAAATTCAGCTAGTGTCAAATAAACTAGAATTGCATGTTTAAAATGCATGCAATTGAGAAAATAAGTGTCTCAATCAGGTAAATGTTTAACGTTGAAGTTTGAGCATCCAAAAGGATTAACTTACAAGAAATATCTTACGAAGCCAGATCAAGTATAAATATAATACATAGAATGTAAAACTAATGTAATATCTAAGATTTTTACTCGAACAAAATTTAGAAAGAAAAATACAAGTAAAATGTCCTAAATCTACTGTAAATGAAGATTTACCACTAATCACACCCACGTATGGATGGAATTATATTGCTTTAGGAAGTCTCATTAATTATCAATGAAAATGTAGTCAAATTTGTTGCAATTTACAAAATCTTCCAAAATAAAGATGGATAAAATCGTCACTTGAAAATAGCATTACGTTGTCACTGAGCATTTCTAAATGTATACACTGACTCGTTTAATGAAGAGAAAAAACGAAAACAACATGAAGTTGGTGATAAAATATTTATTAACTGAAAATAAAAAAAACTTTAATTGATATATACTCGACGTGACAAACATTAGGAGTATCGTGTATAAATTATAGCTGACTCGACTTGTTTCCTTAACTATTTGTATTTTATAATTCATATAATTCAACTTTTAAATAGTTATAAAATAATTTTTTTAGCGACAGAACTGTTGCCACAATATATAATCAGAAAAAAATAGCATAGCAAGATTCATTTCGTTATTTAATCATAAAAAAAAATGTAAATAATCTCATAATTTCTTTTGTTTTTTTATCACTTCCATTCTTCTATCTGAATCATGTAACGGTACATCCTTAATTCATGTCATTCTAATTATCTGTTGTTTTTTCTTTCTTCTTGTTTTCGATTGATTGTCTCAAAAATATAAGTATGAAATATATGTATTTTTTTTTCCCTTCGATTGATTATCTCCCAAATATATGGAACTTATTCTTAAAAATATAATTACTTTTTCACCAATGTATAGAAAAAAATTCATCCAAGGAAAAACTACTGTATCTTTTGCAAAAAAGTTTCCAAACATATTAAATTTGCCAAATTGATTTACATAAAGTCACACTCTACCATATATAGTCCGTGGATGATATTGTTTTGACTAAATTATATTTCCTTGTTCCTACTGGTTTAAAAGTCGACCATATATTAGCATATGTACTGATTACATACGTTACTTGCATCAAGAATTTGAAATTTAAATATCAATTACTAAAATAACATAATATTAACTATTTATCGTAATGAGTCATTTAATAATTAATACAAATTCAAGTTAACATTAGAGATGTGAATTAATGAACAATTTGTACTGTCAATCCCAATCCCTAAATGCAGTTTGACCAGAAAATGTAGCATAAGAGTATGATATTAATTGGAGGCCTACAGTTGCATAATGAAATGGCAGGCAAAATAACAAGGAACAAAGGTAAAAGTGAAGAAAACAATAAACAACCTAGTCATTTTCCTTATATGTACAAATGGAGTCTACTCTTTGAAACCTTTTCTTACCACCATATGTTCTCTGTCACAATGGAGGAGATTTGTGACCCTCTCTATTCATATCTCATTGACCAGCAGATTTCTCAAATAGACTGAGCCTATTATCAGCTAGCCTTGACTTGTATGCAGCATTCTTGTATTCACGCCATGTTAACTCTTTGTACAAACTCTCTTCTTCCTTTGACACGAGAGAAGGTAAAGGAGCTATCTTTTCATTTAAGGGTGGTCCTCCAAAGTAGATCATTGACAATCTTGACATGGTTGAGTCAGCCATTACCCTGTGCTTCACACTTTTAAAGCTCCCATTGGTCATCACCTGCAATTTAGAAAAATAATTTAATCAGAAAAAAACAAAATGAAAGCACAAAAAAAAAAAAAATAGTAATTAACTAAATATCCTTTGGTGAAAATTCCCAGATAGTTTCTTTTTACACATTGGCACATCTATGCATCCAAGAGAGAGAGTGGGATAAAAACAATCAGTTGCTGGCAGATTGTGAGGAAAAGATTGACTTCTAGTCTTCTAGGGAGATAGAAACAATTTTGATTGGTACAAATAAATTAATAAAAAACAAACCGTTGTCTTATGAATTAATATTTCACTGATAACCTTATTCTTTTGCACTTTTTATAATTTATTTTCTATCTCTTCCTGGTATATTATTTATATTATTTTGTACGCGTTTTTTTATAATTAATTTATTATCTATCTATACCAAAACATGATCACCAATCTTATCTGTGGTTGTACCTTTTTTTTCTTGTCTTTCTCTCTTAACTGTAAAAAGTATTTTAGAAAAGTGTGATAAAAGTTTTTTTTTTATATAAAAAAAGTGGTATAAAAGTTGAATTTATGCTTTTGTTCATGAGTACCTGCAAGAGGTCACCAACATTGATGAAAAAAGAAGTGTGGTCAGGTGGGATTGAAGCCCAAGTCCCATCTCCGAGACAGATTTGCAGTCCTGATGTGTTGTTGGATCTTAGGACAGATATTATCTGTGGGTCTGTGTGCTCCCCAAACCCAATTAAATTTCGTCCACTCAATGCTTGAACTTGAAGCTCTGGGCATGCCGGGTAGTAATTCACCCTGAAGCAACAATCGCTTCTGTCATCCCTCACCATCTTGCTAAATACATTCCTTCCTCCAATCCCTAATCCTTCAGCCATTAGTTCCAACACTTCATAGGTCATATTCTTCACTGCCCGTATGTACTCTTCCACAGCACAACTTCCAAATTTAGTATAAAAAATGTCAAATTTTTTATCTTTCCTTGATTGAGTAATAATATATGTGTGTGTGTGTGTGAGAGAGAGAGAGAGAGAGAGACTAGGGTCAAACACTGATTAAGAAATTAAAAATAAAAAATTCTTATTTATTAGTAATGCACTTTTTTTATAATTTTTATTCACTTCTAATTCTATAACCAGTATCCTATATATTAAAAGAAAAGCGAAAACAAATAAATAAATAATCAGGGGAGTATCATATGATAAAGTTTATTATATTACCTGAAATTTTGTGGGTTTTGGTGAACAAGTAAGAGTGACTTGGGGGAGATGACATCAGGGTTGGTGTTGAGGAGGAGGTACTCAACCCAACCCACATCACCGTTTGTGCCAATTCTCTTGCTGCCATAGCCATAAGGGTCAGGAGGACCGGCTTTCTCTTTCTGAGACGGGGGTTGCATGAAAAACTTGAGGGCTTCATTCTCCAAATTGGTCATCAACTCCAATGGAACACCATGGTTGACTAGCTTAAACAAACCAAAGTCTTGGCAGGCCTTGACTATGAGTGTCTTGGCCTGAGGGTCTGAGAGGTCAACCTCTGGAATCCCTGTGAACATGCTTGAAGGCTTGCATGTCTTGATCAGAACTAACTCGTTTAATGCAGCTTGTTGGGATAGAACAACCATAGCTACTGTTCTTGCAAGTGGACCAAACACAAAGAAAACAAGTGTGTGTTTACGTGTGTGCGTGTGTGTGTGTGTAAGAGTGTGTGGGTGAGAAATAGAGAGAGAAGGTTGATGAGAGAGTGGTGCTTGATTTGGGGTTTAAATGGAGAAATGGGTGAGAATGCTAATGCATGAAGCTGAGGGAAGAAGAGGCGTTACCAACTATAGACTATAGGACAGCCATCTGGCTCTGATTGTCTTCGTGGCATTTATACTATCGACAAGACATATTGTTTAATTGTTCTTTGTTTTTTATTTATATTCGGGTTTCTTCTTTAATCTTTATACTACTATTGACAATATTAAATAGTTAAATACTATTGAAAAACCGGCTATTGAATTTGCACTGTTCCCCAACCTCACTTTGGTTTCACTAACAAAGCAACGAATAAGGATTATGATAACTTTCATTTTTCAACCAGCACATTGGTAATGTTTGGAAGAAAATGGTAATAAATGACTAGAAATTGTGATACTGGGAATCGTCGTAAGAAATGTATTTCCCTATACTAACTTGCTCCTAATGTTTCTAATTTACATGCATAGACTTTTGTATATTCTTGCAGTATATATATTACATTCACACGTAAATCAACGGTTAGAGGTTGCGATAAAAAATATAATATACAAGCCTTCGTATGAAAGCAGATTCAAATTAATATTAATTAATCTTTTGAATAGATTTTAAACTAAGAGATGTTATTAATTTTTTAAATAATACTTTAATCTCTTCAACTAACATTTAAAAAAATGAAATATTTACAAATTATTATTAAATAAATTTTAACCAATTATATTCAAACTTTTTATATTTCTTATATCTGATTTATATTTCAATTTAGCATATTAAATTTCACAAAAGTACCCTACAAGATATTTTCTAATTTTGCAGCAAAATCTAGTCACTTTCGAAAAGGTTAAGGCACCACACTTGTCTTTCTGAGATGCTGAGGTGTAGTATTTAATGCAGAAAAACAGTGGATTGAGAATTTGCTCAAGGGAAATAAGTAGTCAATTCAAGAAGATTCTTTGGACATTTTTAGTAAACTTATTTCTGTCAATGGGGAAGTTAAATTTGAACCGCAACTGTAAAGAGACCATATTGGGAATTGCCTACAATATCTTCAAAAGCAAAAACTGTTAGCTAAACCGACCGGATCACAATTTCACATCTTTTGTATAATGTGTTTAAAAATTTATATAGTATTTTTAGAAAATTACAGAAATATAAAATTTAAAAATTATTAATGAGAATTTTTAGTGTAAGTACAAAGTTTCATAGATAAAACAATAATATAGGCAATGGTAATTTTATAAAATATTGATGTTTTCTATTCAGTATGTTTTACTCTTAATTCAGTAAAATTTTAAGAGAATTTTAACTATATAATAATTTATCTAAAAAATATATCATTAACATTTTTTAAAAACTAATAATTTGTCAAAAGTATTTAAAAATTCCATTCTTTTTGCTTTTTTCTTCTTTTATACATGCCTATGCTACAGCTTATTTGTTTCATTTTCAATTAGCTAATTCTTTTTTCATGAAATATATCTGCAATGTTTTGTTTTAGTGTTTTGAAACAATTCAACGATACTAGTGAAATCGGGGTTTGCTTTCCTTGGATATGAAAAAAGCGAGAGAGAGAATAAAAGAGAAAAATCATTTTCTCTTCTCCCCTGATTGGAAAAAGAAAAATAATATATTAAATCTCATTTCTAATATTAAATAACAAAACAATAAAAGGAAAAGATTTTTTATAAATAAATTTATATCTTTTTTAATGTAATAATTATTATATAGATAGGAAGATGAGTAAATTTATCAATTCAACAAAGCTTTGTTTTTCTCTCTCATTTTCTATTTAACTAGGTGGAGAAAATTAGTTTTTTACAGGTCTGACATAATTTTTTTCATGATCTCAATTTACTTTTTAAACAGTAGAAAATATAAATTTCTTTTTGTTTTTTTTACTCATTTTCTTTCCACTTGTTTTCACCACAAGTAATCAATCTTCAGAGTCATATAGCTAGCCTGCATAAGTTAGATGTTCAATCGATTAAAACATTAAGCTTCTAACAACAGTAGACAAACTCTTTTTCTTAAAAGAATATTAAAAAATTTCTTTACTTAGTCAATAAATATTATGAATTCCCACTTACCTTTGGTAAAAAAATTGAATATATGCGTTAGAAACACTACGTTTCCCACCTTTTCACAATTAATTCCTCTTCATTTAATGCTCATTTTGACGAGCGTTAAAGTTTCAAAATTCAAGTTTGAAAATATAAATTTGAAATCTGTGGTAACATGTTTCACAGTTTTATGACATAATTCTTTTTTTTTTCTTTTCTAAACTTATATTTAATTAAGTCAATGTGATAAATTATAGTTTTTATGTTAAGTTAAAAAATTTATATTGAATTTTGCTATAAACTTACATTTAAGTGAAAAGTTTTCAAATATAAATCACATAATTTTAAATTCACTTTTAAAATCAATTTGGAGGCACTCCGACAGTTATTGATCGGGAAAATGACATAAAGTCGTAATCCTAAATCTTTATGGATGATTTTGTTCTCTGAGATTTCATGCGACTCTTCAAATGTATGATTGCTATCAAATGATTTTATTCAACCTCTGGATGTTGGGGACATAGGCAAAGACGAAAGAGGGTCTTTCAAGGTTTCAATAAAAGTGCAAAGCATTGAAACCTTGAAAATTTAATAGATGAGTTATTCAAGTTTGATTTATTAATATTTCACCAAATATGTAAATTCTCATCTATTAAGTTTTTAACTTTTGCCTTCAATATGTTGTCAATGTCACTTTATCCCAACTCCACTTACTAATGATACTTATTGTGCTTCTTAAAAAATTATGCTTACTTTGCAAATTTAATTTCAATTTACCTCAAAACATATATTTCTATTCCACATGAGCATTCTCAACTTGTTAAAAAGAATGAGAATTCTCCAAAAAAAAAAAAAAAGAAATAAAATAAAAGCACGAGATTAACCAATATTAATTATAGATAAAGTTCGCTTAGTTATTATCCACTTTCACAGTAAGTATTGTTAAGCACATCTCAAAAATTATTTATTTAATTTCTATATTCAGTTATTATTATTATTATTATTATTAAAATATTCTTCATAATATTAAAAACACGTATCTAACGAGAATAATTTTGAAATTTCTTGTAATATTTTTTTTACTAATATTTTAAACTATTGAAGTTTATGTTTTTAAGATATGAAGTATATTTATTTTATTTCATATTTTTATTTTGTAATTGTTAAAAACTTAATAAGAAAATACTTTATTTCCAACACACTCGTTGTATAATCTTAATAATATATTAAGAACCAACTACCACACCAATTTCAAAAGGTGGATATTAATATGCAGCTATAAATGGAAACAATTTAAATGGGTTCCACTGTAAGTGGTGGGCTCGAATGTCCTCAAATAGTTATAGGAACTATAAATTAATGACAATGCATGATCATTTATTGGTGAGGCCAGACTATCAAGGTGAGGCATTTTTTTTTAGTTTTTTTAATTTTTTTAAACGTGCCTTGAAAAAGATATAAATTAAAAAAATTATAAAATTATAAAATTTTAATAAATGCACTTCAAATGGTATGAATTCTAAAAGTGATTGAAGTTGCATCTCCAAGAGAATGTCTTCTTTTCATTTCAAGGAAATTTGCATGAACTGTGTTCGAGTGATGCGTTGTTAGATGATTTCAGGTGTTGGATGGATTTTTGGATAGTTTGTTTCTCTTGTGTAGTTAGATGATTGAAATGCTAGATGCACCAATATTTTGTTCATGTTTTAAACTTACCATAAATTTTGCAATGTGCAGCAATCTTTATGGACAGATTATACAGTAAATCTTAAAATAAAATATAAAGATCAATAAAGTGTCTAAGTTCCTCCTTGAACAGATTAATATTGAAAAGTTAATTACATGTCAAATATTATAATTTATACATATGTTTTGATAGAAGTTATTGATATATATGTTTGAGTTATTAGTATTTATTCCACAGGGGTGTATAAATAAAATTTCAATTAAAATACAGTTTAATTAAAAGACATAGGTTTAGAGTTAAGCCCTAAAAAATCTATTTATTAATATTTATTCCACTGGGGTGTATATAAGTTTAAGTTTATTATATTTTAAATTTCAAAAGTAAGTTTTTTTTATCTATTTAAAAAATCTAATTACAAAGTAAATCTTTTAAATAGGCTTGCAAGTGAGGTTGAGATACTATATGAGATTACTTTTTGCACTATAATCTTTTTCTTTTTTTTTGGTAATTTTTTCTTCCGAAAATACTCACTATGAATCCCACAACTAAATCACCCACTTCCTCTACACTTTTCCACGACCTCCATTTGTCAAAATTAAAACATTTCATTTTGTTGAAAAGTTATCTTTTACTCGTAAATCACGACTTGTCTCGTTAACTCTTTTTCATGCAAAACCTAGACAGGCATTTCGTTGTTAATCTCAGATGCCTAAAAGATGTTGGAAGGCACATGAATTAAGGTGCTTTAAACTTGCATTACTAGAACAAGTAAAAGTTAATACTATCTGGGATATTACATATTATTATTATTATTGCATATACATTCTAAAAATACATGGTTATGCTTTATGCTTAGCACGAAAATAAGTAATAACTTGGACGTTGAAGGATTATAAGTAAACCTCAACCCAACGCATCGATCATGTCGCCATAATTGGTCCCTTGCCACCCAGGATTGAGCTGGCCCGTTCCATCTTGCTTCTCAAAATTCACTGGTTAATATGCTTAAAATTTTTAGGATAATATTAAAATAATATCTTTATTAATAATTATATAAAAATTACTAATAAATAGTCATATTTTATTCTTTTGAAAATAAAATCATACAAGTCAGTCCATTTCAACCTATCATTAGCTC